CCCTCACTGCACCCCCCCCCCCCTCACTAGGTATCCCCTCCCCTCACTGCACACTCCTCCCCCTCACTAGGTATCCCCTCCCCTCACTACACACGCCTTCCCCTCAGTACACAGCCCTCCCCCTCACTACGCATCCCCTCCCCTCACTGCACACCCCTCCCCCTCAGTGCACACCCCTCCCCCTCACTAGGTATCCCCTCCCCTCATTGCACACCCCTCCCCCTCACTAGGTATCCCCTCCCCTCACTACTCACCCCTTCCCCTCAGTACACAGCCCTCCCCCTCACTACGCATCCCCTCCCCTCACTGCACACCCCTCCCCCTCAGTACACAGCCCTCCCCCTCACTAGGTATCCCCTCCCCTCATTGCACACCCCTCCCCCTCACTAGGTATCCCCTCCCCTCACTGCACACTCCTCCCCCTCACTAGGTATCCCCTCCCCTCACTACACACCCCCTCCCCTCAGTACACAGCCCTCCCCCTCACTACGCATCCCCTCCCCTCACTCCCTCACTGCACCCCCCCCCCCCTCACTAGGTATCCCCTCCCCTCACTGCACACTCCTCCCCCTCACTAGGTATCCCCTCCCCTCACTACACACGCCTTCCCCTCAGTACACAGCCCTCCCCCTCACTACGCATCCCCTCCCCTCACTGCACACCCCTCCCCCTCAGTACACAGCCCTCCCCCTCACTAGGTATCCCCTCCCCTCATTGCACACCCCTCCCCCTCACTAGGTATCCCCTCCCCTCACTGCACACTCCTCCCCCTCACTAGGTATCCCCTCCCCTCACTACACACCCCTTCCCCTCAGTACACAGCCCTCCCCCTCACTACGCATCCCCTCCCCTCACTGCACACCCCTACCCCTCACTACACAGCCCTCCCCTCACTACACAGCCCTCCCACTCCCCGCCCCCTCAGGCCACACCCCTCCCCTCACTACCCACCCCCTCACTACACAGCCCTTCTGCTGCTCACCCCTCACTACACCGCCCTCCCCTAACTACACACCTCTCACACTGCCCATCCCTCACTACAAACCCCTCCTCTCATTACACACCCCTCCTGCTGCGCCCCATGGGATGGTGTTTGGGGTGAAAGTTCCAGCTGGGCAGCACTTACCACAGATGGCTTCCATTCAGTGGCACAGTGATGCTAAGGCAGCTCTTACTTATCCTGAAACAAAAGACAGGACTATGCAGCACTTTAAAGACTAACAAGAGGGTTTATTAGGTGATGAGCTTTCATGGGCTCATCACCTAATAAACCCTCTTGTTAGTCTTTAAAGTGCTGCATAGTCCTGTCTTTTGTTTCAG